CGGTGCTTGATCACTCACCCACACACCTGGCTCTGTCCTCGGGACCTGTTGCTATTCAAAGACAGAGGCACCAGGTGTTTCTGACTCTGAGCCAGACAGCTCTGCTGGGTGACCTGAGCCTCTGAGACTTCCTCAACTGCCAGGTGGCACCGTCAGGATTGCATCATGTTCATGTATTCATTCAACAAACGTTGTTGGCAAAACCAAGCATTACAACTATTATGTACCCATGATAATTAAGAATAAGATTGAAAAAACAAAATGAACCAAGTGTTGACAAGAATGGCAGGGGACAGCATGTGCCCTGGGCCCCGGGTCTCTCCTGGCCACTGGGAACGCTCACCCACTGATGTTGGGATTACAAATTCCTACCACCTTTTTAGAAAACTTGTCACCTAACTAAAACTAAACATACACTTACACCAGGACACAGGTCCCCCAGAAAACATGTAGTAGAATGTCCATAGGGGCCGGGCACAGTGGCTCGTGCCTGTAATCCTAGCACTTTGGGAGGCCATGGCAAGAGGATCACTTGAGATCAGGAGTTCGAGACCAGACTGGACAACATAGCAAGACCCCATTTCTACATTTGATCTTAGCCAAAAGGCTTAGAAGCTATTAGAGATCTCAATTATAAAAAAAAATAAAAAATTAGCCAGTTGTGGTGGTGCACACTTGTAGTCCCGGCTACTCAGGAGGCTGAGGCGGGAGGATCGATTGAGCCCAGGAGTTAAAGGCTGCAATGAGCTGTGATGAAACCATTGCACTCTAGCCTGGGCAACACAGGGAGACCCTGTCTCAAAAAAAAATGTATATAGTAATGATAAGTTACACACCATCAAAATGAAAACTTTTCCTGCTGAAACAGCATAATTGAGAAGTGAAAAGACAACCTGTAAAGATGGAAGAAAATGCTTGCAAATCATGTCTCTTATAAGGGACTGGTATCTAGAATATATAAAGTACTCTTACAACTCAATAATACTAAGTTATTAAGTATGAAATGTCCAATTTCCTTGAGTACTAAGTTTGACAGTTGATATCTCTGACATTTCACTTTGACACTTCTTGTTTTACCTTCATTGTGATTGTACAGTCTTCTGAACGTATGTTTTGGCTTGTGATTATCTTTCAAGTCTTTTTTTAAGACCAATTTTTGTGAAACCATGGGTAAGTCAAAAATTCATGTTATTTTCAAATATGAGTTCTGTCATGGAACCAATGCAGCACAGACAGCTTAAAATATCAATGAAGTGTTTGGGAAGGATGTGGCTAATGAATGCACGGGACGTCAATGGTTTGAGAAGTTCCGTTGTGGTGATTTTAATCTTGAAAATGAGCCACGTGGGCGACCTGAGACCAAGGTGGATAATGATGAGCTGAAAGCTGTAGTGGAAGCGAATCCATCTCAGCCTACATGTGAATTAGCAGCAAGGTTTGATGTTATTAATACTATTCCGACAATATTGGACTATTTGAAACAAATTGGCAAGCTAAAAAAGCTGGATAGCATGAATTAAATGAGGGTCAAAAGAGAAATCGTCTGGAAGCTTGCCTTTCTTTGCTGTCACGACACGAAGGCAAACCATTTCTACACCATATTCGTATTGTGACTCGTGATGAAAAACGGATTCTTTTTGACAATTGCAAGCATTTGGCACAATGGCTGGATAATGATGAAATGCCAAAACATGGTCCAAAACTGAATATTCAGCAAAAAAAGCCAATGGTGTCTACTTGGTGGTCCAGCGCTGGTATTATCCACTGTAGCTTCATCAAACCTGGTTGGTTGATTGCAGCGGATGTCTGCTGCCTTCATCCATTGTCATGAGGATCAAAACACAAGAACATATGTGGGGTATTCCATAGTCACTCAATGAATGCTCCTGTAAAATGGTGCCTGATCTGGCCCTTACCAACCCCGCCAAGTTCATCTTCCTCAATCCCCACCAGCCCCGCCACCTTCCTCTCTGCTTCTCCCGCTTCTAAGTTTTAGTGGACCCTGCACTTTGTCCTGACATCTGCCTGGACCACTCTTCCCCAAAACTTTCTCCTAGCTGTGACTTTGTCGTCTGTCTCTGCTCCTTGCCCAAGCTGGCATACGGTAGATAGTATGTTGCTGGATGGGTGGATGGATGGGTGGGTGGATGGATGGGTGGATGGATGGGTGGATGGATGGGTGGGTGGACAGATGGATGGATGGGTGGATGGGTGGATGGATGGATGGATGGATGGGTGGATGGATGGATGGATGGATGGATGAGTAGATGGATGGGTGAGTGGGTGGGTAGGCAGATGGGATAGACGGGTGGATCATTTGTGGACCAGGGAACTAATTCAGGGCTGTAGCTGGGACTAATGACAGATGTCCGAACCTCCTACCCGGTGCCAGAGCTCAGGGCTCCAGGCCAAGATCCTTCCAGAGGAGCTGCCCCTTCTCTGAGCCTGTCTAGCATTGCTCTCTGCTGGCCACGCCAGAGATTGCAGGCAGCCCACCAGTTTCCAGGATGTAAAAACTCTGCTCTTGTCAAAACCATTCTTCATTCTACGTCGACATAAACATTTATTTTATTTGTCTGTTAACATAAATCACAGGCCTCTGTATATACTTAAACATTTATTTTTTAAAAAAAATTTTAAGAGACAGGGTCTCGCTCTCTCGCCCAGGCTGAAGTGTAGTGGCGTCATCACAGCTCACTGCAGCCTCCAACTCCTGGGCTCAAGGGATCCTCCTGCCTCAGCCTCCTGAATAGCTGGGACTGCAGGTGTGTGCCACCATGCCCAGGAGATTTTTATATATTTTTTTATAGAGATGGGGTCTCGCTCTTGCTCAGGCTGGTCTCGACCTCAAGTGATCCTCCTTGCCTCAGCCTTCCGGAGTGCTGGTATTACAGGCGTGAGCCACCTTGCCTGGCCTTTATTTTTTTATTGTACTAAAAAACACCTAACATTAAGTTTGCCATTATAATCATATTTAAGTGTACAGTTTAGTAGCATTAAACATGTTCACACAGTTGTGCTATGAATCTCTTATCACTTTTTCATCTTTCAACACTGAAAATGTATACCCACTAAAGTAATTCCTCCTTCCCCTCTCCCTGTCCTTCATATCTTGCCAACCACCTTTCTATTAATACTTTCTGATTCTGTGATTTTGACTACTTTAAATATTCCTAAGGAGTGGACTCATACAGTTCTTATCCTTCTGTGACTGATTTATTTCCCTTAGCATAATGTTCTCAAGGTTCATTGATGTTACATGTGGCAGGAATTCCTACTTTTTTTTTTTTTTCGAGACAGAGTCTGGCTTTGTTGCCCTGGCTAGAGTGCCGCAGCATCAGCCTAGCTCACAGCAACCTCAAACTCCTGGGCTCAAGCGATCCTCCTGCCTCGGCCTCCCAAAGTGCTGGGATTACAGGTGTGAGCCACTGTGCTCAGGCCCTGAAGCCCTTTTATAAGAGCTCTACTTCCATGTATGAGGGCCCTGTCTTGATGACTTAATCACCTCCTAAAGGCTCCACCTCTTATCACCTTGGTGATTAAGTTTCAACACATAAATTTTGGGGAACATTCGACACTCCATTGTCATAGATTAGTTCTTGAACTTCACATTAATGGAATCATATCATGGACAGTCTTTTGTGTCTGGCTTATCTTGTTCAACACTGAGTCTGTGTAATTCATCCACTTTGTTCTCTGTTGGCAATTTGCTTTTTTCATTGCTGCATAATATTCCACGACACGAATCTACCACAGTTTACTTATCTATTTTCTGCTGATTTTACATTTGAGTTGTTTTGGATTTTTGGCTGATATAAAGACAGCTGCTTTGAACATTCTTGTCCATGTCCGTGGTGGACGTATTCATGCATTCCTGTTGGGACTGTTGGGAAAGGCAGTGAAATTGCTGGGTTTTAGAGTATACAGGTGCTAGCTTTCCTACGTATTGTCAAACAGTTTTCCAATGTAGCTGCAATGTTTTATGTTCCCTCCTGGAGTGTACGAGAGGAGAGTTCCAGTTGCTCCACATCCCTAGAATACTTGATATTGTCAAACTGTGTATGTTTAGCCATTCTTGTAGGGAGCGCAGTGCTATCTTATCGCGGTTTTAATTTACATTTCCCTGATCACTGACGGTATGGAGCACCTTTTGCATATATGTGAGTGGCCATTTGTATGAACTCTTTTGTGAGGTGCATGTTACTCTTTTGCCATGTTTTAACTGGGTTGTCCTTTTTTTCGTTATTTGCAGGAATTTTTGTTTTGTTTTGTTTAACTTAATTCTGGATAAAAGTGTTTGCCAGATATATGTATCGTAAATATCTCATCCCAGTTTGTGCCTTGCTTTTTTCACTCTCTCAATGCTATATTCCCAGAGGGCAAGGACTCGGCCTACCTCACCCACTGCCGTCTGCCCTTTGCCACGCCTGGCACACAGTAGGATCAACGGTTATTGAATGGGTGGCCACGTTGAGTCCCAGCTCTGGGCTCACTTTCCTCCCGTAGGCATGTTTATCCCGGTCCTGCCCATACCACAGCATTTTGTGAGGCTGCGGGAAACAGGATTCGTCCACCCCAGCTTTGAGTTTTGGAGGCTCTCGGGCAGCGTCAGCGTTTAGATTCAGAGAAGGCGGAGCTGGGTCGTCTGCGGGAACTTGCAGGTTAAGCTCCACGTGGGCGCCCCGCCCACCTCAGGCCCCGCCCAGAGCTGTCACACAGACTAGGGGCTTCTAAGAGGCGTGGTTGGAACCCGGAACGAGGAAGTAGGTGGAGCTTCGGAGGCCACTGACCAATGAAAGCGCAAAGCTTTCATCCGTTAGGGGCGTGGCTGAGGGGACGGAGAAGGCGGTGCCCATACTGCCATTGGGCGGCCTGTCGTCGTCAGGGAAACGCGATGTCCCGGCGGTGAGGAGGCGAGGCTTCCGGGGAGGCGTGGCTTCCGGGGGCGGGTCGGCTGGGACCGAGCGCCCGCCGTCAGCTGACCGGCCGCCATCTTGTCCGCCATTTGCAAGCCGCCCGAAGTGGGAGTGCGGGCCTTGCAGAGCGGGTCGCAGCTGCCGCCGTTCACCGACCCCCGCCGCCGCCCTGGCCTGGGAGCTCGCCCCGCCTCGGCGGCCGGCAGCGCAGCGCTCCGCGGGCGGCAGGCGCGGCCCCCGGCCCCCCTCCCGGCTCCCGGCCGCGGGCTTCCCCGGGCCAGAGCCCGTCGGCCGCCGCGATGGCCCTCAAGATGGTCAAGGGCAGCATCGACCGCATGTTCGACAAGAACCTGCAGGACTTAGTCCGTGGCATCCGCAACCACAAGGAGGACGAGGTGAGCCCGGCGCTCCGAGCGGGGCGGCCCGGCCTGGTCGCCCACCCCCGGCCCTGCCCTGCCCTGCCCTGCGCGCCCCCGGCTCGCGCCGCTCCGGACCCTGGGGCGCCTCACACCTCCTCCCCAGCCTCAGTTTACCCCGCGGGGCAAAGGTCCCCGAGCAGCTGCTCTTGGGCTCCCGCGGGTGTCGAATCTCCTGGGGGAAGCCCCGGCCCCGCCGCTGGGTGGCCTCCTTCCTGTGCCTCAGTTTCCCGATTCGGAGGGAGATTGGGGCCTGCCTTGTCCCACCCGAAGAGACTTGCCAGGTCTCCGAGGAGAGATTCTCCAACCTGTGTGCGTTTCTGCATCACTTATGAAAAATGCAGGGTCCGGGGCTGTGCCCCAGGGCCTCCCGAGGGTCCCCTCCCTGGAAGAATGAGGCAGGAGGTCCCGGGCTGCTCTTGGAGGGTAAATGAGTGTCCACGTCGCTTCCTGGGGCCTGGCTGGGAAGCGGGCGAGGTCTCAGGGCCTTGTCTCTCGGGCGGCCTGTGACAGAGAGGACAACAGTGAGGGAGCAGCCCACGGCAGCCTGGAATGGGGAACTCGAAAGCCAGGGCAAGGAAATGGTTTTCCAAAAGTAAATGGTAACTGTGGGCACCTTTTCCTTCCCGCCCCTCCCTTCCCCCAACCTGTGACCTAGATTGGGGAAGAATGGGGGTAGTTAGCGGCCACCAGGCATCCAGCCTCATCAAAGGATGCCGGTGCAGCGGAAGCATTGAAAAGCCTCCCTCCTGCCTCTCGTTTGCCTGCTCGCTGTCCCTGAAGGGAGTGCAGCTGTCTGATACCCTGATACCGTGCAGGTCCCAATACCAGATGCTATCTCATCCTCACAGTGGCCCCCAGGAGGGGCAGAGAAGCTCATGAATTTTCTGGGAGGCACCCTCAGCGCAGGTCCCCCTCCCTGGGAACCTGACTTCTTGCCATGTTGTTGTTGCACTTTTTCAGAAGTGGTGTGACCTCCTCTGCCATGTCATGAGGTTGTATTTGTTCATCTCCACGGCCCCTTCCCGTCTCTTCCTTTGGTTTTGCATCCTCTGTAACTAACTCATGCGTGGTCTTCAGTTTCTTTGTGAGTGGAAAGAGGAGCTGATTGGCCCGGATTTTATTTACTGAGTGTGGCTGAGCACATTTGGGACGAGGCTTGCTCCCTGAGATGACTGTTTTGCACGGGTAGGAGCTCCTAGGCTTGCCCCCACCTTCAGGGGGTGTCCCTAAGCAGCTTGCTGTGGGATCTCGAGGATGGGCCACAGGGTCTGTCCGGTGGAGGACTGCACCCTCTAGTCAGGGAGCCTGGTTTTCAGGGGGCTGTGTGTGTCATCCCTGGAAGTCCCCTGGGCCTTGGTTTCTTCATTTGGAATTGGTGTGAATTGATGGCACCTTCCCCACAGGCTTGGGCCCGTTCAGCGGGGTATTGGTGGTGGAAACGTTTTTAAAAGCACAGGGCCAGGCTGGTGCTGGAAGTCCTTGAAAGTCCCAGGTTTCCTTGTGGGCCCTGCCGTTGGCCAGTTGGCAGTGCCGGCCAGGACACATGGTGCCTGGGACTTTGGTTTTCTCATTCGAAGACCATCCTTACGGCCTGGAGAGTGATCATTCAGGTGTTCACTCCTGGGATGTGTCTGGCTGCTGGCGTCTCCTGATTGGAGAGCAGTGAGTGACAGTTCAGTGACAGTTGTGGTCCCACCCTCCCCCCTGTGCAAAAGCAGCTACCGTGTAGACTGTTGTGGGTTCTTCCCTCCCACCCACGGCACCCGGAACAGATTGCTGACAGTGTGCTTTTTCAGCAGCAGTTTAATTTACAAAAAAGGTTTCCGTTTTATAATAGGTATTCACTTAAAGCTTCATGTGACATTGTGGAAACAAGGCTTAGCAGTAACTTCAAAAGCCACGTGGAAAGGCAGCGTGGATGAGTGGAAATGGTACGAAGTTTCGGGGACTTGAGTCCAAGTTCTTGGACTTCCTTACTGGGTAACCCAGGAGAGGCCCCTACTCTGTGTCATCATCTGTAACATCAGGTGGCAGTTCCTCCCTCCTTGCCAGCTGTTCTGACGATGCACAGTCTTCTGTCTTCTGCAAACGCCAGAGCGCCCTAAGAGGTTGTCTAGTTTGCTGTTTTCCAGACCTCAGACTGTCATCCCTTAGGGGGTTGTAAATTCAATTTAATGGGTTTTGCTAAGTGAGAAAAAGGAAGGCCAGTGCGGTGGCCCACACCTGTATACCCAGCACTTTGGGAGGATCACTTGAGGCCAGGAGTTCAAGACCAGCCTGGTCAACACAGCGAGACCCCGTTTCTAAAAAAAAAAAAAAAAAAAAGGAAAAGAAACTAGGAAATACTTGACTGTAGGCATGTAGAGTCACTGTCCTTTCTTGACACTTTGTTTCTGCGTGTGATTTGTGTGTGAGTGAGTGAGTTGGGTTACCATGCAAAAAATATTTCTTAAAATGAGTCCAAAAAGTTTGCAAAGTAGCGGTCCAATTTGCACAGTTTTTGGGCTGCTCGAGGTTATTTGAATCCTTAAGATACGGCAAGGATAATGTTGGCAGGTTGGGGGAATCCACCGAGCATGTCTGTTGCTTCTAAAACTTAGATATAACTTGGGAAAAAAACAAATGACCTTTAATAATTTATTCTCAGTTACTTTTCATATTTTGGGAAAAACTTTTATTTTGAGACAGGGTCTCATTCTGTCACCCAGGCTGGAGTGCAGTGGTGTCATCACAGTTCACTGTAGCCTCCAACTCCTGGCTGTTTCTCAGGCCATCCTTAAAGGTTATTGAGTTACTCCTTCACACTCTTGTTCCCTGTGGGGTCTTTTGGGGGGGGCGTCTGCGTGTATTTGGCCCCCACAGCACATCTTGGTCTGGCTGGCCACATTTCAGGTGCTCAAGGCCACATGTGGCCAGTGGCTGCCAGGTGGGCTTTGCAGCTCTGTGCCTGGGCCATCGTGGGCCTCAGGTCACGCCTCCCTCTCTCCCCCTGTTTAGTGGGTTTCCCTGGCTGCAGGCTTCCTCCTCTTCCCGCCCTGGGTAGTCTCCCTGGGCCCCGCCCCCTCGCCCTCTAGGCTTCCTCCTCTGCCTCTGCCCTCCTGCCCTCTAACCTTATTCTCTCCAGTTCCGATCTTGATACTCTGTACCTGTCTGTCCAGTTGTCACCTGGACATCACCACCGGGGCATCTTGGGCGCCCTCAGCTCAGCGTGTTGCAGTGGGCTCCTCCTTTGCCCCAACCTGTCCTTTCTCTGCCCTTCTTGGCTCTGGGAAAGCCTCAGGCCATCCCCATCACTCACCTCACTGAGCCTCTGCTGTCTTTTCTGGGCTTCCCGGCTCCCTGCTGCAGTTTTGGTTTGGGCCACTTTCCTGTCACACCCATGTGTTTGCAGAAGCCACCTCCTTGCTGACTCCTGACCTCAGTTACCTCCCAGCTCCGTGCCTGCCCCAGACCCCTGCGTGGGCTCATCTGCCCCGGCCGGCTGTGTGGCTCTCAGCCTGCGTGATCCGGCACCCTGCTCCCCTTCCAGCCTGGTCTCTTGTCAACCCCCTCCGGCCACAGGCTGCCCTGGGCTCCAGCCTTGCTGCGCTCCAGGTAGAGCCCCCAACCTGCCAAACCTGTAGACCTCCAGGCCTTTGTACACCTGTCCTTGGCCTGGAGTCCTTTGGCTCCTATACCTGCTCACATTTGGTCACTGGCCCAGCAGCTGGCAGCGGTGGGGGCTCAGGAAATGCCTGTTGAGGGACTGGGTGGTGCCTCCCATGCGCTGGCTGACTGGTGCGTGAAGCCATGTCTGCTGCGAGGTGTCGAGTTTGTGCAGTGTCCATAGCGAGTCCCTCCAGTGCCGCCGCATCAGGGGCCAGGCTCTGTCCTCCGTGGCTGGACCAGGAGCCTGGTGCAGGAGTCTGGTTCACCTGGGAGAGGTGGGCAGAGCACCCCGGGAGCAGATATGCACATGCCTCGGGACTTGTGAGCAAACTAAAAGGATGTCATTTCTGGATTTTTACCGCCCTAAACCAGTGTCAAAATATTTTCACGTGGGTATAAAAATTTACAGCCCGTTTAACTGATGTATCTGAGTGTTTATTTTATTAAAATTTAGTTTCATCATGTAGAATGGTAATTTAAAGTTGGGCATAATCGAGGGGTAGGAGAGAACACATGGCAGTGCTGACATTCTGTTGCCTCCAACCTCAAAGTGCTGATTCCTTGTGGCTCTGCCCAGTGCTCAGGCGTGTATGGCCTCTGCCCGTGAGAGTGTGCAGGGCTGGGGGTCACCCTGGCTGCTCCTCAGGGACTGTGACTTGAAGACTTGGCATGCCTGGCACTGGGTGACATTCAGGACGTGCTGGCTGGCTGTTGTTTTGTAGCAGTCCTTCTATTTTAACAGCTTCTGAGGAGAAAAAAGATACCAAGTTTGAACTGTTTTTTCCTTTCTTTAATAACATTGGCCATTCCGCTAAAAATCACCCCCCAGCCCCCATGCTGTTGACACTGGGCCACATCTCTGTGGGGTCTGCCCTGGGCACTGCAGGTGCTGAGCAGCGTCCCTACCTCCACCCACCCCAAGCCAGGAGCTCCCCTTCCCTCAGCTGTGACAGTCACTAATGTTCCCAGACATTGCTCAGTGTCCCCTGGGGGCGGAATCGTCCTCACGTCAAGAACTCCTGACCCAAGCTGATGGTAAGAAAAATCTCCCAGAATTCCCGGACGCCCTCCCCTTCATCCTGGCGCCCCCTCGTCCCCACTTTGCCACAGTGTTGTTGGACCCAGAAGGTGCATTTTCTAGATTTGCTTTTTTTCCCCTTCTGAATCTCTTTAATTATGAAATATGTGATGCATAGGATGTTGTATAGCTGATTATTATGGTAATTATCCAATTATTCCGAGTTCTATGAGTATAATTTCCTTAATTTGCTATAGCGTTATCACTTAAATTTGTGTCCCTAAACCGTAGAGCACCATGTAGCCGAAGGTGTCCTTTTTGCTGCCTGGCTTCCCCGGCTCCTTCCGTGAGAGCTGCGCTTGTCGCAGGTGCTGTGTTCTGTCGTGCGGCCACTGCGTTCACCGTTCTGTGCCCGTGGACACGGGGCGTTTCAGGGTGGAAGTGGAGCTGCTCCAGCCTTGCAGCTAATGTCAGCGGGGGTGATGGCCCCAGGCAGGGCTGGGGTTGGGTGGGGTGTAGCTGTGATCCCCTCCCTGGTTGTGAACGTGGTTCCCTCTCTCTAGCGTCTCAGCCGTCTGCGTTCTTCATGAAGCTCCTTTCACGGCTGTGGCCTCCTCCCTGGTCTGCTATTCCCATTCCCAGGGATTTTTTACAAAGGCGCCCTCTAGGCCCACGGCGTGCAACCTGGGTGGTGCGCAGCTGGGACGGCAGCGCGGGTGAGCTGTGAGCCCTTGGTCAGTCATACAGGCTCTTTGGTCTCCTGGACAGTCTGCCTCAGTTTGTCAGCAGGGAGGAGAGAACCTGAACTTAAAAAAAAGACAACGTGCCCCAGAAATCCTGATGTCCATCCAGGGTTGAAACGGCACATCCTATGGCCCCGAGGAGTTCATACAGAAAGGAAGTACGCATCCTGTGTTCTAGATTAAATTCCAGAATGATTAAATAGTTGCCGAAACCAGAGTCAGTGTTTCAGTGCTGCTTTTGCTCCGTGCGAAGTGTGAACTCTGCATGGACTTGGCTGAGATATTTGAGAAATTTCATCATGTTGCACCTCTAATTTCCTTTTCTTCTGTAATAAGTATCAATGATATGTAGCTATTACACTTTATGCCTTTTTTTTTTTTTTTTTTTTTTGAGATAGTCTCACTCTCACCCAGGCTGGTCATCACAGCTCACTGCAGCTTCCAACTCCTAGGCTCAAGGGATCCTCCTGCCTCAGCCTCCCGAGTAGCTGGGACTACAGGCACCACCACCACGCCTGGCTAAATTTTTCTATTTTTAGTATAAACAGGGTCTCACTCTTGCTCAGGCTGGTCTCAAACTCCTGGGCTCAAGCAATCCTCCCACCTTGGCCCCAGAGTGCTGGGATCACGGGCGAGAGCCACTACACCTGGCCTATTTATTTCTTTTAGCATCCGTTGGGGTATTGAAATGTGTCCTGCGCACGCGTTGTTCTGGGATCAGCTGGAGATCTGAGCTGAGTCCGTGTGCAGAACATGGGTAGGGAAGAGCCAGGAGAAACAGCACCGCCCAGCACTGCTGCTTTGCTTGTTCCCGGCGCCTGCTGGGAGTGTGCTTACAAGATGCTCTCGGGAGGCTTGCACTGGGAGGAGCTACCTGGCTGTTAGCAGAAGTCAGAAAGCCGAGAGGGAGTCTCAGGGTTGGGACTGACTTGGGAGTTCCCGGACTGCCTGGGAAACTGGTGGGCACGGGTCTGTCACGTTGTGTCTACCTGTTCGTCAGCTGGGTAACGTTTGACCCATTAGGAATAGTGCTAAGGTGAACACCCACGCGCTGGTTTTCAGGGTTCTTGGGCACACACATGGGCCACGTGGCAAGTCCCTGCTTAACCTCTGGGGGAGCCCCAGGCTGCCCTCCATTGCCCTCCCGCCGTGGGGGGGGCACCGACTTCTCAGCACTTGTGGTTGCCTTTTTGTTCTTGCCATTTTAAACCATTAACAGGCATCAACCTGTGGGGTGCAGAAAAGGGCCACCCATGCACCAGGGACAGGAGCTGAGGATCCCTCTCGGGATTTAGTAACTTGAAGCGTGTTGGAAGGATACGGTGATGCTTGTTCCGCTGCACTGCACCTGGGTCGTGAAATATTCAGCACGCTCCCTGAGGCTGGGACAGCGCCCGGGCAGCTGTGGCTCGTTCCCTGCGCCTGTGCTGGTGGCAGCTGGGGGTCTCAGGCTGGGTGGGGTGTGGTCCTAGGGTGACACAGGAAGGACTGGGGACAGAGGACTTGGGACAGGAGGACCTCTGGGAGGGGCAACGTGGCGGACAGTGCAGCGGGAGGAATGTTGAACCCCGAGGTCAGGGGCATGGCAGGACAGAGTCCTAGCAGTTACAGCTCTTGGTCCCATGGTCACATGACGGAGTGGGCTCCTCGTGCCTCACAGGGCACTTGGCATTGGGGGCTGAGGCCAAGCCCACCTCATGGGTGTGGGGCCCTCACACATCAGCTGACGGAGTTGTTCCTGACCCCGTGGTGACCACCCTCTCCTCTTGGGGAGTGCCGGGTTCTCTTTAGAGCCGACATGGTGCCAGCTCTGCCTGTCTCTCTCTCACGGTGTGAGAGCCCCACAACTGCCACTCCCAGAGGGGCCACTGTCTGTCACTCTGGACCTCGTGCGTCAGTTCTCGGGTCAGACTGTCTCGGGTGGTGTTCAGTAGACGCGCTGGGTTAGCAAGTGGGCTCCAGGGAATCAGAACACACCCGCTGCGAAACTCGCGCACAGACGTTCACGCAGCACACACCACAGCAGCCATCGGTGGGGGGATCCAGTGTGAGGAGTGGGCACACAGGGCAGGGTGTGTGCACCCTCCACCACTACCTAGTTCCAGAACGTTCTCATCACCCAGAAAGAAACCATGCCCTTCCCACCTGCTCCCCACCTTGGCACCCACAAATCCACGTCCGGTCTCTGTGGATCCGCCTGTTCTGGACATTTCATATAAATGGAATCTCACACTGCATGGCCTTTTGTGTCTGGCTCCTTTCCGAAATAGTTATTTTTAACGGTTTCAGCTAAACATTTGTAATTTTAATTATTTTCCCCTTTTAGGCAAAATATATCTCTCAGTGCATTGACGAAATCAAGCAGGAGCTGAAGCAGGACAACATCGCGGTGAAGGCAAACGCAGTCTGCAAGCTGACGTATGTAAGTGCTCCGTCTGCTCGGCGGCCCTGGGCCTGCTCCCCGGTGCTGTCACGCTGCCCTCTGCTCCACTGTGTGCCTGCCGTCCATCTGCGCATCAGACGTTCACTGGAGCCACTGCATAGAGCTCTTACGTCTGTGCTGTCAGTGAGCCGTGCAGGGTAAACTCGGAGTCCTGGAGAGGAGTGCTGTGATTGTCATGTGGGTGGGTGGCAGCACTCAGGGCGTGGTGGTGGCCCTGGGGGAAGGGGTCCTCTCCTGAGTGGAGGCTGGCAGGGGCGCCCCTCTCCTGCAGTCTCAGCTCCTGCCGGGAAGCCTGCTGAGTGGAGCTGGGGCTCTGAACCTTCCTGGGCCAGGTTCCCTGCCTGGCTACCGCACGTGGGCAGAGGACAGGCACCCCCCTCCTCGCCATGGCCTGTTTCCTTTTGGCAGTAAAGGGCTTGTCCAGGGAGTCCCTGGTGTTGGCCTTTGTCTCACGTAGCTGTTGTGAGCAGCCCATTCCCCAAGGGCAGTAGGGGAGTTCAGCCAGTGCACGGAAGCCTAGCTTCTCAATTGCAGGCATTTATCCTCTTTTAGGGTCTATTATTAGCCTGTCCCTATAGTTTTTAAAAGTAAGAGTCGTTTTTCAAGAGAAGAAAGAAAAGGCCCCAGGGGTACATGTCGGATAAACTTTGTGTGTTAAGACTGTGGATAGAGCTAGGCGGGGTGGCTCACTGCTGTAGCCACAGCACTCTGGGAGGCTGAGGCGGGAGGATCGCTTGAGCCCCGGAGTTGGAGGCTGCAGTGAGCTGTGACGGTCCCACTGCTCTCCAGCCCAGGCGACAGAGTGAGACCCTGTCTCAAAAAAAAGAGAAAGAGAGAGATTGTGAATGGAGTGTGTCCTTCACATGCAGGGAGGGAGTGTTTGATGTCATGGCTTAAGTGCCTTGTCCACCTTGGCTCATGAGTAAAAGTGACTGTGCCTTCCTCTCACGATAGTTACAGATGCTGGGGTATGACATCAGCTGGGCCGCCTTCAACATCATAGAAGTGATGAGTGCCTCCAAGTTCACGTTCAAGGTGGGCTTCGGGCCGGGGAGGCTGGCAGGGTGGTGGGAGGAAGGATGCCCCACTGGATGTCCCCACAGATCCGTCCTGTGGCCAGGGCCCGGCTGGCACGGGACACGGTCCAGCTTTCCTGAGTGGGCTGGTGCCGGCGAGGGGCTGCAAATTCAGATAAATGTGTAACTCCTCCAAAACCCAGCCAGACACTGGTCCCTGCCCAGAGTTCTCCACTTGTCAGCATGTTCTCTTGCCTCTTGGACATTTTCTGAGCATTTTTTGTTTGCATTGTAGTGCTCTCCCTCGTAAACAATTTTGGTTGTTATTTCCTTTCGGTATCATATAGGCATGTCTCTCGTGTCAGTAAACGCCCACAAAAATAATTTTTCCCAGCTGTGGCCCGTTCCGTGTATGGTGTGTGGCCTGGGATTATCCTGGGTCAGGTGAAAGCTTTCTTCACCTTCCATCGGGACACACCCTGCAGTGGCCTAGCGCCTCTGTGGTTCTAGTCTGAGGGCCCTGAGCCCCTGCCTGCGGGTCACGCTTGGTGAAGAAATAAAATGTCGTATTTGCTAAAATTTGTGGCAGCTCCCTGTGCACGTGTGTTTAAAGCGTCAAGTGTGTTTGGGAGTGTGGTTTTAGCTGTCACTTCAGCCCGGCAGAGAGAACTGAGCTGTCCTAAGATCCCAGACTCTGACTCGCTGTGGGAAGGCAGTCCCTGGCTGCCAGTGCGCTAGGGGAGTGTAGAACGTTAGCTGCAGGACCCAGTGGCTTTGACAAGCCTCAGTGGGAATTTCCTCCTCTGGAGCTAGACGAGACCTGGCGTGGTTCACAAGTGGCTTCCTGGCATCCAGCTGGTGAGGGGACCCACCGCCCACCCTGGCGTGGCCCCTGGCGTGGCCCTGATGCCGCGTCTGTCCTCTCCACAGCGCATCGGCTACCTGGCCGCCTCCCAGAGCTTTCACGAGGGCACCGACGTCATCATGCTGACCACAAATCAGATCCGCAAGGTAGGCCTCCCCTCATGCTCAGCGCTGGGTGGGTCTCCCCGGCCAAGCCTCTGTCTCTGTGCTGCTTTTCCCATCACACGCGTGGGAGAGCAGGAAGCAGGAGCCCTGGGCTCCGAGGGTCCATAGACCCCACGCCTGTAGGTTCCTTAGCAAGCAGGCCCGGCTTGCCTAGGCCGTCGTGTTTCCCAGGAGACACGAAGAGATGGCCTTGGTGGGTCAAGCTCTGCTCCCTGGCAGGTGTGCAAGGCTGGGGGGCTGCTGAACACCCCGCTTCTCAACCTCGCTTCCTGGAAGGCCGGTGGGCGCCAGGCATCTGCGCTGCAGTTGTCCTCTGGTCACCCCGCTGTCTTTCCATCCTGCCCTGTGGCAGCACCTCCCAAGGTCACACTCCCCTCCCTGCCCTCGTGGGGCCTTCCGTCCAAGGGCTCTTTTGAGCCACCTGACATGTGTACCTTTAGTCGTGTGTACCTTTTTTTTACATTTGAAATGGTGTTTGAAGACCACCGAGTAATAAATTTCCTCTTTGGCCCCAGCACTTTGCGCATCTTTTGTTTCCCCCTCATTGTGGAGAAGTCAGGGGTGTTGGGGAACCAAGGCCATGTTATGTGGGCAGCTTGTCCCTTTCCAGCCGCGGCCCACAGCCCTGGCCCTCAAGTGCCCAGTGCAAGGCTTACGCCCTCAGGAGGTGACCTGGCTTCACGGGCTGGGGCTCCCAGCATGCTTAGGGGCGGGCTCTGCAGGTGTTGGCCATGTGCTGCCGCCCTGCACGTGGGGCAGTGTAGACCCCACCACTGTTGGCCCTACCAGGCTCTCCGTCCTCAGCAAGGTTATGGAGCCGGGCATCTGCCTTGGCCACATGCGGCCTGTGGTCTAGGTGCCACGACTCCAGGGTCCAGCTCAGCCATGAGCGCTGGTGGGGTGCCCAGCAGGAGGGGAACAGGTTGCCAGGTGGGAATTGAGCCTTCCAAGAAGGGAGGGGAGAGGGTTGCTGGGGTGAGTGGCGGACAACAGGACTGAGGAGGGTGGAGGTGCGGTGTCCTGGGCGCCCAGGTGCCAACTGCCCAGCCAGTCCCCCGTGTGGGCACCTCGCTACGGCCTCAGAGCTCCCACTGCTTCCCCAGGAAACGCGCTCAAGGCTGTTCTGTTCCACCCAAGTGCTCCAGCCTGAGACTCCTTTTCCCGGGATCACACATTGCTTCTGCTAAATCAGGAGTGATTCAGGCGGTTAACCGTCATCTCTGCCGCTGTTCCCACCTTTGCCTGTCTCTGTCCTGGCCCCAGACTCAGGAGCCTGTCTGTGAGGCCACAGCTCTCGCTGCCAGTTAGCGATATGCTTCCTTTGTGTAGGATCCTGATGGGAGCGCACCCCAGGCGTTTGCACTCCTGTGTCATTTTAAATGAACCTGTGACTTTTGAAACACACCTCCCACAGGGGCCTGTGGTTGGGCTGGGGTCTCCTGGCAGCTTCACGAATACCTGGACATCTCCGGACACACCTTCCTTTCTGAAACTTCCTATGGCAGCCTCCCAGGGTCCCCGCTCCCCTCCTCTGGCCCTTGGGTGCATTGCGCTGAATGAAAAATCCAGTCACCGAGGGAGTGAGGCTGCCGTGCGGGTTCTGCTGCCGTCTCGCCCCTCGGCTGGGAGTGGAGTGGCTTTTAAAGCTAGTGTTTTCGTATTTGTGACCACAGAAGGCAGCTTGTAAGGTGTTTCTCAGCACACTCCTTACAAAAATCTCCCCAAGAGCAAGTTTGCGGGAGTGAGAGAATTTCCCCAGGCGTGCAGACCTGGGGCGTGGGCATGGGCCTGTGTTTGAGCCATTGCCGTGCGGTTGAGCTGGTGGAGCGCGAGTCCAGAGGAGGCTGTGGGGTGGCCGTCAGCTTCTCCTCGTGTCTCATGGTCCCAAGATAGAATTCTCCCCAGCCTGAAGCTTTTCCAAGCTTTGAGAGGGACCCACAGGAGTTATTCCTGGTCTCGTCCCTTGGTTGTTAGGGGGACAGGACCCGAAATGGTGGCAGTCTCTGGGGATCCTGTGCTGTGGGGCTCCCCGCCTGCTCTGTGCCTGGGTGATGGTCAGCAGGCTGTGCACTGGGTGTCTGCAGGCCAGGAGCTGCCCCTCGGCCAGGGGTGGGCAGCCCTGACCGCAGCCCCGGGACCAGGCCGTGCTCAGAGCCGGTGCAGCCTTTGCCCAGATGTGCAGTTGGTCAGTGGGCCTCTGTCCTGGGTGGCTCCACCTCTCAGAGACTGGGCTCTCAGATGCAGCACGTTCCCGTCCTCCTCAGACCCTGTCTGTCCCCAGATGGCCTGTCCTGGCTCCTCTTTTGGTGACAGTGTCTAGTGGGCTATAGTTCGTTCCTTGTCATCTAGAGTTAGCTCCAGAGCCCTCTGCGGCAGGGACGGGGGCAAAACTGTACCGCAAGTGGGTGTACCCCCTTCTGGGACATGCACGGTGACACATATCTACAGCACCCACCCGCTAAACCCCTCTCCCTCCCTTTCCAGGACCTGAGCAGCCCCAGCCAGTACGACACTGGCGTTGCACTGACTGGTCTGTCCTGTTTTGTCACCCCAGATCTTGCCAGAGACCTGGCAAATGACATCATGACGCTGGTGAGTTGCGAACATGCCCAGGTTAAAGTGTCACACCAAGGAAACTTGGCCCTGCGGGAACAGGCTGGGTGCAGGTGTGTGGCCTGGTGGGGTGGGGGCCGAGTCACTGTCACCCCCCAGCACCACCTGGTGGGCCAGGCCCTGGCAGGGACGTTGGTTCCTTGCTGAGATGCTGATGCTGGTGGCGGTCATCTCAGCAGCCACAATTTGCCATGTGGCCCTGTCTGCTCCTCTCCACCCCACGTAGCTCCCGGCTGCCCAGCTGGTCTTAAAGCACATGGCCCAGCCGGTTGTCTTCTCACAGGGGCCCCAGTGACCTTCTAGAACATGGAAGTCCCGAGAAATGGTAGTCCTCGGGACATCTATTGTGTGTCCAGCTAGTCCCCAGCTTAGCAGGACTTTTTCACTTACTAAGTGGGGCCACACTGATGGGGGAAGGGGGTCGTCTTCTGCCTCGGGGTGTTGGCCCTGCGTGAGCACCCGTCTACAAGAAGACGCGTAGATCTCGGCTGATGGTCTGGAGATGTTGGGCACAGCCTGCCCAGCTCTAGGTTGGACCCTGTCTGTCCAATTAGGGTTAGCAGCTTGTGAGGCCCAGGACCACGTCCATTACCCACCCCGCTGTGAGCCAGGTGCCCGGCCCGCCCCTTCCGCCTTGTACACCGTGGCCTCAGCAGAGCAGGGCAGAGCCGTGTGGTCCCGACAGAGGCTGTCTGGCCTATAGAGCTGAAACAGTAACTGGCCTTCACGGCAGCGTGCTCCCCGACTAGAGCAGTTGGGAGCCCACACGAGGGGTGGATGTGGATGCCCTGTCACAGTGGGCCAGGGGCTCTGTCAGGGCCAAGCAGTGGAGGGGTGGGGCTCCCCAGGCCTGACAGGTGAGGAGGGGCTCAGCAGGGACAAGAGGATGGTCTGGCGGCCAAGGGGAGGCCCTTAGTGTCCTGGGGGTCGCTGTGCTGTGGGGCTGCCAGCTCTGACCGTGCAGATGAGGGCTTCCCTGTGTGACTTTGCTTTTGCGCCTCCGCTCTTCCTCCTGGACCCCGGGACTGCTGGGGCAGGACAGAGGCAGGAGGGCCGGCCTCCAGGGCGCAGGCCTGGGCACAGGCACAGGCAGGTTTCCACTCCTCTGAGATGCTGCTCTGTGGTCCCTGGGTGGTAGGCAGTGTGGTGGGGTGTGTAGGCTGTGGCCGGAGGGACTGGGGGCTCTCTCCTCTAGGCTTTGGTGGTGAGACGCGGGCGGGGCGCGGGGCAGGGGTGAGGCAGGTGGAGGAGCCTGGTGCAGACGCCCCCACTGTCTCGGCAGATGTCACACACCAAGCCCTACATCCGGAAGAAGGCCGTGCTGATCATGTACAAGGTGTTCCTGAAGTATCCCGAGTCGCTGCGCCCCGCCTTCCCCCGGCTCAAGGAGAAGCTGGAGGACCCCGACCCTGGTGGGTGGATTTGAGTTCAGGTTGGGTGGGGCACCTAGCCCCCTGGGAGCTGCCACAGGGGCTGAAGGGAAGAGGTGGGAGGGCTTGCTGCCCGTGGAACATGCCAGGCTTTCCTGCCGTGGGGCAGCCTTGAGATGCAGTGGACAGAGCGGGGAGGCTCAGCGCCGGTGGCAGGTGGCCTCGGGTTCCTCCTAGGCCTGGGAACAGTGCAGTCCAGCACAGCACACTCGCGGTGAGGGTCAGGTGGCAGAGCCCTGGTGGGCGTTCCCCGTGGCCACAGTGTCCCTGAGCCAGGGAGGTTGGGAGCCTGCCAGATGGCTCCCGTGCCACCAGGCCACCTTCTGCAGTGCAGGGGACAGCTAGACGATGCTGTCAGACACAGGGCCACCTCCAGCCTCCGGGGCTGTTGAGCATTTGCAGTGTGGTGACTGAGGGACACAGTTCGAGATTTTATTTCACCGAGGTTAACTGACATTTAAACAGTCACCTGCGGCCCTGGCATCCACTGGGCAGCATGGCCCGAGGCCACGTGTTAGAGCCTTTGGCTTGTGGCGGGCACTGGGCAGGGGTCTGTGGGACTGAAGCCGGCCAGTGGGAGCCTGCAGGCCCTGCCTTTGGGAGAGCAAACCTGACCTGCGCAGGAGCTCAAGTCTGGGCCAGCTCCTCCCTGGGGCGCTGGGCTCAGTCAGATCAGGACGGCTGGGCCGGTCCCAAGCCCTGCACAATGGTGCGCTCCAGGCCGATGGCCGGGCAGATGTTTCTGGAGGCTGCCCCTTCCCCACGCAGAAACCCCCAGCCCCGTTTTCCTCCCTGACTTGACGGAAAGAGATGGAGCCAGAGGGCCGGCCTTTGAGGCTATCCCAAGTGTGCAGTGACGCTGGCTTGTGCTTGTATTGCGCACCTTGCTGTGCAGCGTGCGTCGCAGGGTCCTGCTGCTTTCCTGTAGCGCCACAAGCCCTCTGGGCCTGCTGCCTGGACAGTTTGGGCCTGGGCTGGTGTCCCCGTCCCCAGGAGGAGGTGGCAGAGCCTGTGCCACGAGCTGGGGTTCCTACAGCCTGGTGGAAGCTGCCACAGACACCAGCACCTCCTGTTGGTTGGGAGGACCGTGGCGGGGTTTTCAGAGCTGAGAGTTTTAAAGCGCAGAAGGGGCAGGAGGCACATAGCTCCCGGGACAACCCACCGGACTCCCGTTCTGCCTACAGCCTCCGCCCAGTCCAAGCCTGTTCCTTCTCCTTGGCTAGCCGGGTTTTGTGTCTGGGGCTCTCCTGTCCACGGAGAGCTGCAGGGGACCTGAAGGCTTATTTTTCTCCCTCAGGTTTTTTCTTTTTTTTTTTTAATCATTAAAAT